TAGGTTGGAATTCAAGGCCATCACTAGTAGGTTGGAGACCCTTGCTAGTAGGGTGGAGACCATCGAAAGCTTGGCCAAAGGTTTGGAGAAAGGCTCTGAATTGTTCATGAATGGACTATGTTGCAAATTGGTTGGGAAAAGCTTTTCAGTACAAAGGGTGGAGGCCACATGGAAAACAGACAAGTCACTGCAGGGTAGAGCCATCATCCTCATCATCATCAGCCTCTCTGTCAGTCTTGACATGGGAAGTCTTGACCTCGTGCTCCTCTTCGGACTCAGAAAGTTCATCCTCGCTGTTGTAGACTTTGACTTGGCGCATTGCCTGCCAAGGTGTTCAACACCAATGTTTCAAGGTTGCTACTTGTGTTTGTGTGTATTTGAAAAGCAGGGCCCAAGCCATACATTATAGGGAAAGAATCAAATTTCTACTGCATAGCCATCCCAGCAATGGCAGCCCGAAGGCTTCATGAAGTGCTTGAGGATGCTCCCATGGACTGCCTATGCCTATCGTGTTGGCTTGACCAGATCACCCCCTATTTGACGGACGATGAGAAGGCTTTGAGGGCATTGAAAGTTTTGTGCAAGGATTGCCAGTGTGACTGGGTTGCGCAAACACCTAGCCGTATTAGGAAGGGTTGGCGAAAGCGACGCCGAATCCTGGACACAACACCACCGAAGCAATGTAGAAAGTAAAATGGAGCTGCTGAGTCTGCAGGAGTTGTCATGATCGTATCACTGATCACGACTATATTGCTACATTGGTTGTTATATTTATGTATATGGCAGCACATACTAACTTTGTGCGGTGCATGATGTGCATGTGGTGTGTATCCTGCATGTTGACATTCACAATCAAAGCATAACCTGGCCTCGTTATTGGGGAATTCCGGATGCCAGCGCCACAATCCAGCCCTGACCTTTTCACTGAACAATGCAGCTGCAAGGCCAACAGGGTCATCCTCCGCTTCAAACCTGACCACATTGAAATTCCGCAGTGAGCTCAGACAAACTGGACTTTAATTACTCAACATGTCCCAATATCAATATTGGTTGAATGGTTTGTGTTGGAGCCTCTTCTCAAGATCCTTAAGGGTCATCCAAGTCCTCTTCAGGCTTCTCTTCTTGCGGGTTCGGTGTGCCAAGGAATCCATTGTGCGACTCTCATCCCATTTTCCTCCCAGTGAGAAATGGTTGTGTTCAGACATTGACTCAGCCCTGCCTCAACAGTCCTTTGCAATTGAAGAAGTCTTCCAAGAGGTCACTGTATGCAGCGGAATCCTTTCCTAGTCACAATGGACAAGAATAGATATTGCGTTCACCCGCAAAAATGGAATAAGCATTTAAACGCATGATTCATGGAATGGTGCAAGTGACTGTTATAGCCTGTATGTCCCTGGCCTGCACGGATATTGCGGGCCAGGACTTTGATTTCAGCCGGGGTGGATTTGCCTTGGGAGTTTCAATTTCAGTCCAACCCCCTAACAACAGGAACAACAAAAACGGTGACGACAGTGATGAGCATCGGACTCTTCAAGCTTCGACCAAACTTGTTGAGGTGTGCATGCCGCAGCTTCTTGACATGGTCAGAAAGTTCAACTACTTCCCCAACTGTACCATCAGCAACTTCAGCTGGGCCCAAACCCTCCGCCAACAAATCAGCTGTGGCCTTCCTGTTCAATGCAGCAAGGGCCTCTGCATTCAAGGCATACTTGTGGTAAATATTGCCCGTATCTACCTTCTCAATCTCACCAGCCTTGGGGCCCATACCGGCCTCATCAAGGCCATTGCTGGGTTCCACAGATTGGATCGATGGTGAAGATGCCCCAGGACACTCCAGCGGCGGGATGAACGGTGATGGAAGACGGGTACTTTCTGGAGTGGGAGTACGACGGTCCTGTTTCTTTTCCTTCTTTGATTTCTTGTCTTTGTCTTTCTTGTCCTTCTTCTCTTTTTTGTCTTTCTTATCCTTCTTCTCTCTCTCTTGTGGCTCAACTGGTGTGGACGCAGCTGAGCTTCCACCACATGGAGTTTGCGCCTGCCACATATATGTAGTTGTACAGCAGCTAACAAACTAAAAGGACTGCGAAAACAGTGTGGCCAGCTAGGTGGTTCAAATCACAAAAA